TAAAACAATATAAAAAATGGTTGACATAAACCCACTACTATTATAGTATGCTCCTCACTTAGCGACAAATTCGTTTACTGACATGGTCTTAGGAACGGAAATCCATCATTAACCCTTTGACTGTTTTCAACGTATAAATACGTCTTACGAGCCAATGTTTCTGACATATATATACTCAATAATTCTAGCGGCTTCAAATCAAGTGGGAGAAAGCTGGTAGGCCCACATGTGAGAGAATGGGTCTGTGTGGTCAGTGTGCACCACATAAAAAAAATCCTGCAGCACACATTGCGTAATGAGAAAAAAAAACTCTGATCGTTTTTTTGGAATAAAACGCCGACTTTGAGGTGTATTTTCGTATAGTATTTATCGTTGTATTCGCGTTTTCATGGTCTTAGGTGATAAAATGGAAAACATATTACAGAAATAGAGATGATTTTAATTACTTTTACGATGAAAACGACCTTGAAACTGAGCTCAAAGTAGCGGAAATGTTCGATTTTTACCAATGTTCAAGAGTAAATAAATCACACCACACGTCCAATACACGTCAACTGGGGAGTCTAATATTCTTTCACTAGTGCACTGATATTATTTATATCATTTTTACAATAATGCAGTCGTCTGCATAACAGTAAATTTTGTATTTTTTTGTATGAATAAAAAATCAAAATAGAAAGCAATAGTAATATAAGAGGGGCCTAGAGATGTGACTAATGAACAGAGCATATGTTATTTTAGTGCCACGAATGTCTACCTTGTTTATTCTGGACCCTATTTTGAAATTGGCATCTTTTTTATTTTGCGTGAAATTGGCCAAATTGCCAATTTCTGACCACCATATTGGGTAGTCCAAATTAGTAAATGGGAGGTTTCTTGTACTCAGCTGATAGATAAAATGGAGTTCTAAAGAAATAGCTATGAGTTTGGTCAACTGGAACAACGGAATTGGCTGAAAATTGGGCTCAAAGTCGGCGAAATCGCCGATACGCATATGTCGCCGAGACCGCTAACTTCGCGGGAGCATAATTCCACGAGTTTTCAACCAAATTTCGAACTTTTGGTGTCATTACCATCGGGAAAAGATTCTCTATCATTTCATAAGAAAAAATAATTTTTTTTTTTTTCAAAAATTGAGCGACATAGAATGACAGTTTCAGAGAGGGGCCTGAAACAGTCAAAGGGTTAAGTGAGGAGAGGCTGTATATTAAACAAGTGGTTGATAGCACACTATAATACCACAGGTTGTCAGAAACATCAGGCTCTGTTGTTAAGATATGGAGGATATAACACTGCTTAACCTAACCGACTCATAAAGCAACTAAACCTAACCTTATTAAGCTTGGTGCAGTTTCTCCAGAGATTCTAGCTTGTCTATAGGAGTTGTACATTGAATTTATGATTATCTTTTAGTACCAGAGGAATCAATCTGTGCTTATGGTGTCCTGTCTTGTAGTACAGTGGACCCTCGGTATTCGATGGCCCGGTATTCGATAAATCCGGAATTCGATGCATTATATCGCAAAAAATTTTCCGCGGTATTCGATTGAAAACCCGGTATTCGATACGATTCGTACGAGACCTGTCCACATGTGGCCTGAACTGCCCCTTGTGTGCCAGTGTTTACAAGCCAGCCAGTGTGCGCGCATCTAAGGATACATTCGGTACATTCCATATTATCCATATTATCACTGTGTTTGGTGCTTGTTTCTGCAAAATAAGTCACCATGGGCCCCAAGAAAGCTTCTAGTGCCAACCCTGTGGTAAAAAAGGTGAGAATTAGTATGGAAATTAAGAAAGATTTTGAAGGGTTTGGGGCTAACCTTGAGAAGCCTATACCAGTTGTGGAATACATTGTGCCTACTTCAAAAATTAAGGAAATGTGTGCACAGTGGGTTGAAGTGCAAACCTTTATGGATGAAAATCACCCTAACACAGCTATTACAATGACAATGTTGTGGCCAATTTTAGACAAATCGTAAAGGAACAGGAGGTACAGAGCTCTATGGACAGATTTGTTGTGCGACAGAGGTCCAGTGACTCTCAAGCTGGTCCTAGTGGCATTAAAAGAAGAAGGGAAGTAACCCTGGAAAAGGACTTGCTACCTCAAGTCCTAATGGAAGGGGATTCCCCTTCTAAACACTAACACCTCTCCCCTCCTTCCATCCCATCAATCATCACCAGATCTTCATTAAAGGTAAGTGTCAATTATTTTATTGTTATTGTAATTATTCTATTGCATTAAACTTAATGTTTCATGTGAAATTTTTTTTTTCCATACTTTTGGGTGTCTTGCATGGATTAATTTGATTTTCATTATTTCTTATGAGGAAAATTGATTTGGTTTTCGATATTATCGGTATTCGATGAGCTCTCAGGAACGGATTAATATCGAATACCGGGGGTCCACTGTATTTAATGTCATGTATTTTTTTTAATTTAATTTAGTTGGCTTAGAAATCTTCACAACATCCCAAATGCATATTATGTCTGGATTTTGAGGTGGCTGTGCCATATCACCCTTATCCAATAAATGTGTTCCAGTACAGGTGCAAGGTATTTTCAGATCTGAGTACGTATACTGTTTCTCGTACAGAGGAACAGCTGGGTAACCACGCTATACAACCAAGCCACCTTTTGCTAATTTACTTGCACTCCAGATTTAATTCCTGTTAATAATGTTGATAACTGTTTATGTTCATAAATTTTATACACCGTGTATAAGTGAATTAACTTTTTAACAGATACACCTTGGGCTCTGTAATTCATTATTGTCAAGTTTTAGTTCTATCCAGGTTATCATTGTTATGGAGAAGTGCTAAACTTGCAAATCAGAGTATGTACCTGGAGAAATGGGAGGTAATTAATTTTTTTTCTAAGAATGGGAAGGTGCCTTCAGCTCTTTAGAATAATAATGCTTCGGCAATCAGCATCAGTGCACTCCCCCTTGAAGGGTCATGTCTGTCCACAGTGCTGCCCTTGTGGAATTTTTGCAATAAGTACTGTGTTAATGCAATACATATGTATAGTAAATGTAAAGTACCTTTGGAAATTAAGAAATTAATACTTAATTTTTTAGTCATCATCCAATCACCCATCATCAGCAGCTCATCGTCATTCAGTCATCCAATCACTCATCATTATGCAATCATTCATCATCATCCAGTCACCCATCATCATCCAGTCACCCATCATCATCATCCAAACACCCATCATCAATAACATAATGAAAGAACTTTTGAACATATTGTTTTCTGCCACAAAATTATAAAAATGCTGACACTACACAGTGTACATGAGTGGTTTATATCTGTATATATAGTGTTTACAGTATGATCATCGAGCGGTAGCATTCTCATACTGTAAACTACTTTCAACAACTCGCAGTGTTATATTCCCATAATTTAATTTCAATATTCATTATTGAAACTATTGTAATTACAGTAAAACTATTGTCTGCTATAAACAAATTAGATGTATAACTTTAACAAACTATGATGAATTGCTTTAGTATTAAGTAGAATGTAAGCCATTAAATTAAGTCTGCCCATAATGCCTAAGCATGATAGTGGCTCTCTTTGCACTGTACCCCATTATTATAATTTCATAATCTCAGTGTAACCTTGCAAAGAAATAAACTTTGTTTTGGTTGTTTGTTTGTATGTATATAACACCGACTGAGTTGACCCGAAGATAAAGTTGCTCATCTATTTGCTTGGTTGGTTTTGGGATTAAAAAAAATTATGGATGTTAATATAAATGTGAATTGCAATCTTTAATGACCTACGTAATCACCTATTTGTATATAGGTAGCCACCGCTAATGAGCCACCTTTAGTAGTAGTTATAAAACTAATTATTATTATTACGTTTGGTAAATGAGCTTAAGTTGGGCATTCCTATTTTCAAATATTTAGGGGAGACTAGCGCTAAACTCGTAGGCGCTTATGCAGCGCCTGGAAAATGGAAGGGAATTAGACTCGATCCAGGGAAGGGTAAGTACAATCATCATACGTAGTGTAAATTACCTAGGGTAGCCCAAAAAAAAGCCAGCGACTTAAATTTCCATTGTAGTCCTCGAAGGGAAGGAAAACATTGTATCAAGAGCCCCTCAACAGCATCAAAGATGAACATCAAAATGGTATACAATACCGACAGGTTGTTAGGTAAGACACATATGCAACAGTTAGACAACTTTATTCCGAAACGTTTCGCCTACACAGTAGGCTTCTTCAGTCGAATACAGAAAGTAGGCAGGAACAGTAGAGATGTGAAGACGATGTAATCAGTCCATCACCCTTAAAGTCGTAGAATTTGAGGTTGTCAGTCCCTCGGCCTGGAGAAGTTCAGTTCCATAGTCAGGAACTATCAAATTCTACGACTTTAAGGGTGATGGACTGATTACATCGTCTTCACATCTCTACTGTTCCTGCCTACTTTCTGTATTCGACTGAAGAAGCCTACTGTGTAGGCGAAACGTTTCGGAATAAAGTTGTCTAACTGTTGCATATGTGTCTTACCTAACAGCATCAAAGATGCTCCCTTGAGGCGTATAAAACTGACTTGTAGTAGATTTTGTATGACCCTTGTGGTTTAGTGCTTAGTTTTGATTGTAATAATGTGATAGATGTTTCGATGGCTCTTGAGGCGCATGAATTTGGAACCTCAATCAATACTGCCTCTGGCTCTGAGACGCCGCCAGTTATCAGGAAGATCAATAAATCGTCTTTTATTATATATTTTTTACATATTTACTTTTAAAAGGTTTAATTATCAATAATGCAAGTTGTGAATTAAAATTTAAATTATATATGTTACATCGAGTACGTCATGAGTGTATGTATGGGTGTAATATTCGGCGAGTGCGTAGATAATGTTGCGTAAACTATAAGTTAACCACTTTATTTTTATTTCCTATATATATTTCTAACGAATTTTACTTTTTCATTAGTATTTAAAAGGTGGTAGTTTGAGTGCTCACTGATAATGTAGCCTAGAGGGAAGGTGGGAGTGTAGCTGCGTACAATGCGTACTTCAGTGCCTCAGTGTAAGTTGATTGTGTTTGTTGTACGAGGTGGCAGTCATGGATGACCAGTGCCATGTGCTAATTGATGACGCATGTCAAGAGCTGCCACAAGTGGTGAGTGACCGGTAGCTCAGAGAGTAGAGCATTAAGTTGAATCGAGAGGACCTAGGTTTAATTCTCGGGCTGGGCGAAATGTTTGTGCTTTCCTAATACCTGTTACCCTTGTTCACCAACAATAAGTAATTATCTAGGTGATATTTGTCTCATAGTGGATGGTAGTATGCGTAAGGGCTTTGAAATGAGCCTAGATAGGATATATAAACAGCTCTTTACCTGTAAAATTTAAAACAATCGCCTTCATGATCTTCAGTCTGTCTTTCCCACAGGTAATATTGTTGTCAATAAGAAATGCATATCGTTAGAATACCTTATGAATCCAGTCGCTAAACTGGTAAAGCCAGAGTGGGCGATACAGCCTCATTCAAGATTCCTGACGTTGCACGTCTGATTTATACACTTGTCGGTATAATATACCTCTTGATACCCAGTAATATGTTTATTTAATGGAAATTAGTGTAACTTACAAGAGTAAGAACATATAGTATCTTAACGATGCACAGCAACATTGCTGTGCGTTGTTGATCGCTCGTTTGCGATTGTTGCAAAATAGTATCTTAAGAACATAAGAAAGAAGGAACACTCCACCAGGCCTAACAGACCTATGCGAGGCAGGTCCAACTCTCCCACCGGCTTAAGCCAGTGCATTGACCTAGTGAGGTCAGACACGTCACTTAAGGGAGGAGCACGGCATTTGACCTAGTAGCACAAGCTAGTCAGGTCCAACTCACACCCACCTACACCCACTCATGTATTTATCAAACCTATTTTTAAAACTACACAACGTCTTATCCTCTATGACGGTACTCGGGAGTTTGTTCCTCTCATCCACAACTCTATTACCAAACCAGTGTTTTCCTATATCCTTCCTAAATCTGAATTTTTCCAATTTAAAACTATTGCTGCGAGTCCTGTTTATGTTAGATATTTTTAGCACACTATTTACAACCCCTTTATTAATTCCTGTTTTCCATTTATACAACTCGATCATATCCCCCTAATTCTATGCCTTTCTAGAGAGTGCAGATTCAGGACCCTCAGTCTATCCTCATAGGGAATATTTCTGATACATGGGATCAACTTTGACATCCTCCATTGTACGTTTTCCAGTGCATTTATATCCATTCTGTAATATGTTATGCATTGTCATATTCGAGGATACTTTTATATTTTAGATTACTTTACTTTAGGTAAGCCATATGACTAAAAGCTTAACCTAATCAACTGGTATTTGTATACAAAATTCACCCTACGTACGGATGTTAGATGTTGACATTAATCTGATAATAGATGCAGGATTTGAAAGCAAATTCTTTAGTGACACAAAATTTTGTGAAAACTATTCTCCAAGGAAGTGCATTGATGCTGGTGAAAAGATCTTGATCCAAGGGATTTGAGCTACCTTCGACCTTGGTTCATTCCCAAACATTGAAAGGCCTTATCAATTTTGTGATTCCCTATGAATACAAGAACAATAAAAAATAATATAAAATAAACTGCCTTGCTGGGTTTAATTAAACTATATCATTGTCAGTAAAAATTATAAAAAGAATCAGTGTGTGTAGAGTAGCTTGCTGGTACTTATTGCTTTGAAGATTAAGATTAAGTACATGTACAATTCTATAAATTGTACCAGTATTTAACATTACTGCATATTAGCTTAACTGTTACAAAGCAGTATCTTTTTAACACCAGCCATCTCTCACTGAGACCCAACAAAGAAGAAAACATTTTCACTCATTCAATCACTTTCTTGCCAGAAGCATGCTGATATCACAGTGCAGATGATCTCCCAAACAGCAATATCCCCACTCCTCCTTAGAGTGCAGGCACTGTCCTTCCCATCACCAGGAATCAGATCTAGATAACTGGTATACCTTAATCCCCTAATAAATATTACCTTGTGCACACTCCAACAGCATGTCAGATCATAAAAACCACGTGCTTCACTTTTATCTATCATGCTTGCACATACCTGTTGGCTGTCCAAGCCCCTAGAAGTAGTATTTAAAACCTTTACTCCTGCCCTTCCAACATTTCCTAGGATGACCCCTATCCCTCCTAGTCATCTTATTTTTCTCCAACCTATCTAAATGTTCAAACTACATTGGCAACCCTCTGAATAATAATTTTGGTAACTCCACACCTCCTAGTTTCCAAATTCTTTAGTCTGCAAAATATTCCTACCAATGGAAATAAATCGCTTTGACTTTTTTGGGTTATTCTAGGTAACCTACACATATGTTGCTATATATGACAATTTATGTAACTGTATTTATGCGTACCTCTACCTGAATAAACTTACACCACACACATTGCCTTCAAACACAACATCTCTACTACCTCCAGCCTTCTTGCTACAACATTTAAAACCCATGCTTCACACCTGTACAGCAGTGTTGACACCATACCACTATACATATTCTGCTACATTTCCCTTTTTTGCCTCCATCAATAACACTATATACTGTACATAAGAGCAAATGGTTAAATTTTCTGTATGTAATGTAGTATTTTGACACTATATATTAAACAGCGCTTAAAGAAATACTCTTCAGTGACATTTCTTTGAAATATTGTTTTAGATTTATTGTTAATATAAAATAATATATTTATAGTGTAATACATTTGCTTTGTATTTTTATGTCAAACCTTTTAAAATAATCATACATGTTTACGTATACAGTGTATATGTTTCCATCTGTTAGCATCAAACAGTTCAACAATCTCTAAACATGTTAGGACACAAGAGTGACTTATGAGGCAATTAAACACCATGAAAACTTTTTCAGTACGTATATATTTTTTAAATGCAGTATTAAATATTAAGCCTTGGAAATTTTAAAATACAACATGTTACTCCTTTGCTATAATATCTTCATATTTTTCAGAATCAACAAAAACAACGTGGTGTTCCTGCAAACAAAGTGAATTGATACATTGGCGCACCACTAACGAGTTCTCTAAACTACCCCCAAGAGGACAGGAGGCTTTCTTTAAGTAAGTTGTAAATTATCCTAAGGCAAATTATTAATATTGCTTTGTAAAACAAATTTAAAAAGATGCTGTAATTTTTTTTACTGAAGAAAACAATACTTTTCAGATATCTACGAAAGGGCTGTTACTCTGAAGATAAAGACATAATAGATGTAGATGTAACAGCAGAAGGAATGAATAACTCCTCTAGGCGGTACCAGTTTTGGCTGAAATGTCAAGGGATAAATTTAACAGACCTTTTTGTGATTTATGTGGATGATGATGAGACTAAGTTACCAGATGTGAATACATGTTTCACAACATTTAAGAGCAAAAATAATGATAAAAACATAAAGCAGAGTGAATTCTTGAAGGAAAAGGTAAGTGATGCTAAGAAAGTGGATGGTTTTATAAGTGAATTAAAAGATAGTATGAAACCAGACTTAGATCAATCATTTACTGATTTTAAGACATACCTTGATACTACATATGGAAAGAATGGCGAAAAACTATAGTAGAGCTCAAAGCAGGTTTAAAAGAAATGTTAAAAGAGTTGCTAAATGCATTTGCAGCTTGCTCCTATGATTATATTATTTGCCTGAGGTAAATGACAGACTAGTGATTTTGAAGTATGATGCACAATGTGTTCAACAAACAGTATGCCAGACCATGCCTTACAAAATAATACCCTTGAAAGGACACTGAATTTCCTTTCTTGTTATTTTTCTCTAACGTATCAATGCTCAAGTTAACCTTACTTAAAAAGTACTCTTAAGTGAAATTACTTGTAAAATGTATTACTCAGACACTAAATATTCACTTTTATTTTAATTTTGTTGTCAGGTTTATTCATTGGTTGTTATTTTGTAGTGTCAGGGCATTAACCTCTTCCATGGCTGAATTACATTTGTTAAAAATGAGGAAAATCTTTATGCATGTCATCACACAGGAAACCAAGACCCTGCTCATCCACACTTAGTGTTGTTGAATGAAAGATAATCCTGCATTTATGTATTAAAAAAATATAGGGGTAGGAAATATGGCAGTTCAGGGCAACATTTGAATGGTGATATCTGTGCACTTTTGGAAAGGTAGCTATTGAATGATTTATGGTCAACATAGTTTTCTTTGTTTTGGGTCACTCTACTTTGGTGAGAGACAGCTGTTTATTAATAAATGATTTTTCTACTGTACGTACTAAATACTACTTTATAACTTATAATTATACTCTCCATCGCACCAAAACTTTGGGTAACTGACTTTGATGGCGATAAACCTACTGCTGTTTCTTAAATACCTGACAATCTTTAACTGCTCAGTTAGCTTGGCCAGCATTTGATCCTCCTTCGAATGTATTTCCCATACAGGTGTGTATAATATGAAGAGGAAACTTTTATTTTGACTTTCATTCAGGGTTGAGCATTATCATCCTAGAGGAAAATGTAGTCCCAGTAAAAGCTTTTTCTACACATTTTGCCAATATGCTTCTACATCCAGCTTGTTTTCCTTAGTTTTGTTGAGTAGAAACCCACGAGTTACAAAGGCTAGGTACGAGGCTCTATGAAAGGTAGAAGGAGCAGTTATTAACTTTAATCTGACCCCACATAGCTGTGGGATGTTCCCCTTTGGGTCCAAGAATAAACCAACAGAAGGTTGTAATGTGTGCAGTACCATAGTATCAGGTAGCATTTGTGTTTACTGAATGAACTTGCATAATTTTATTGTTGATTTCTTTACATTCCATAATAAGTATCAGAAAATGTATGATTTAAGTCTGTTTTACTGTTCTCTATGTAATGTTATTTTTAATAGGCTTATTATTTAAACAGTTATGGTTATTTAGATGTGCCATTGTGACATTAATTCTGAATTTGATATGTATTTTGGCAATTTTGATAATTTCAAAAACTTTAAATATAAGAAAATTATTTATGTATATAATAAAAAACTGTATGCAGCATATATAATTATAGATATTTGTCTTATTCAAGAAGTCAAATTTATTTTTAATTACAAAGAAAATGAGGAGTTACTTTCACTATCATTTTAAATGACCCTTTAACCCTTTGACTCTTTCGGTCGTATATATACATCTTTCGAGTCATTGTGTTTGATGTATATATACTCAAAAATTCTAGTGGCTTCAAATCAAGCGGGAGAAAGCTGGTGGGCCCACATGTGAGAGAAGGGGTCTGTGTGGCCAGTGTGCACAGTATAAAAAAAAATCCTGCAGCAAGCAGTGCATAATGAGAAAAAAAAAACTCCGACAGTGTTCTTGGATTAAAGCGCTGACTTTGAGGTGTATTTTTGTATAGTTTTTATGGTTATATTCTCGTTTTCATAGTCATATTTGATAGGATGGAAAGCATGTTATAGAAATGGAGGTGAGTTTGACTGGTTTTACTATGAAAAGGACCTTGAAATGGAGCTCAAAGTAGGGGAAATGTTTGATTTTTGCCGATATTCAAGAGTAAACAAATGATGTCATTGTCCAGTAAATGTCCAATTAGCCATTCTGATATGTAGTCATGAATGGGTTGACATTATTTATACAATTATTACAATATTTCAGTAGTCTGCATAACAGTAAATCTTCTATATTTTGTTTGAGTAAAAATTCAAAATAGAAAACAATTTTTTTTTTTTTTTCAAATATTTTGCAACACCAGGAGACACCTCAGGATTTGAGGTTGTGACAGTCAAAAGGTTAAACTACAACATCCCCACTCCTCCTTCAGAGTGCAGACATTGTACTTCCCATACCCAGGACTTCAGTCCTACTAATGTGTTTTCCCTGAATCTGTCTATTACCTTCCATACATTCCAATAACACATCAAACCATGAAAATCACTTGTCTCTTCTCCAATCTTGACACTCTCACACAAGCTTCTTGAATGTTCAAGCCCCAAATTCAGAACATCTTTTAACCCCCGCCCTCCAGTCCTTCCTGGGATGATCACCTTCCCTACTTCCTTCGAACCCCAATTTGTACACCCTCTTAGTCACACTATCCTTTTCCATCCCCTCTAAATGTTCAAATCACCTGAATTATACCTTTTATGACCCCACACATCTTCTAATTTCTACCTTCTTAATTCTCGAATAATGTTTGCACCACATAACTGCCCCCAAACAGCATTTCCACTGCCTCCAGTCTCCTCCTGGCAGCAACTTTTAAAACTCGTGCCTTGCCCACATAAATGTGTAGGTACCATTGTACTCTCATACATTCCCCATTTTTACCTTCATTAGTAAAGTGTTTGTAAATTAGGTAGTTTTCTAAAAGCATTTACTTAAACATCATTTTGTACAACTGGTAGGATTATTTTGAAGTTGGTTTTAAAATTGTTTTAAGTTATACATTGTAGCCAATTTGATCTTAAATAACATTCCACTGCCTCATTTGTAATTCATTATCAAAATGAACACATTACCACTGAAACCATTCTAGATATTTATGTACAATAATAGTCTATACATTATTTTAATTTTTGTTTTTCCAAATGTCAAATGTCTCCCATAAGACACATCTTTTATCTAGAAACAGCAGAGCACTGCTTTAATAATGCTTACATCTTTATGTACAGTATATCATTGGTTTTGAGTACATTGTTGAATGCATATGTTTGAGATAATAAATTGTGGACAGTTACTAGGCTTAGTTATGAAACAGTTGTTAATGAAGACTGGAAGTCTTGATTGTTCTTCCTGAGTACAGCAAAGACAGTACCATTTTATTTTAGTTTTTACTGCTGATAATATTCTGGGAAAATTAGCTTTGAATGTGCCACAGTACTTCTTTATATCTTTGAGGCATGAAATACTCTTTCTTTCATCCTTTGCTTCAACTCATCCTAACAAAATAGATAAATAAGTAAACCATATTATGTAATGAATCTCATTAAAAATGTTCATAGTGGGTCTTTGTTTTTTGTTGTAATATGAGAAAGGAAATGGTTATGAAGATTCAGTAAAACCAGTTATCTAGACCCAAGTCCTGGAGGTGGGAAGTATAATGCCTACAGTCTGAAGCATGGGTTGGTGTTCCAGTTTAAATTATACTCGTGCACTTCTTTCTGGCAAGACAACTATTGAATAAGTGGTGATGAATATTTTGCCTTCTTTGGGTCACACTGCCTGCTTTGATGAGAAATAGATGCAGTAAAAAGTCCAAGTAGTATTCAAGTAATATTTCTGTCCCCAAAATTACCATGCTTCTGTAGGAATTATCACAGAAAATAGGATTACATTACGTTAATGTGCAAAACTATAAATTTAGTTTTATGTACTTAAGTGCAATTATTCTAAGTATTCTTCAGATAATTATTTAATTTTATTTAATGTTCATGGGTAGCGCTAAGCCAGTACGGTACTTAACCAGATTAAGAGCTTATATTTTAAATCTCCCTCTAAAAACAAGACAAATAAGAGCTCATCTTTGACCTTTATAATCATATGTCACTTTCCTGTCATCTTGAAGTTAATAAGTGAAACATCCTAATATTGCCAGACCCTGTGATTCCCTCAAATATAGTTTATGTAGCATCAAATGGTATGCTGGTGCTGCACATATGCTGCCTCACTGAGGTGTTAAGTGATTCTGGGGTCTCTTCTCTCTCCTCTCATCTCACAACTTAGTCTCCACACTCCCTATCTAGTATTTGCTAACATTAGCCACCAAAACTGCATAAGGAATAGGAAAAAGATTAAAGGTATTAGAAAATGAAGTGCATATATATAGTATTTACTTAAGACATGTGTACACTGCTTTAGTATGTTTTTTTTTCTGTCACTTGTGCCTTTTTCATGTACTTATTGGTACAGGTACAACACCAGTTTACCAGCAGCTGATTGTCTGGCACCTCCTTGAGTGCAGACAAAATTACGAGACTGCTTTTTTGTCAAAATAGCTTATCTGGTGGCCATAGATGGTGTTGTTTGTAGTGTGTGCTCATGTATATTGTTAATACTGCAGTTGGTGATCCCTTGATTCTGTGTGATTCTTAGCTCTGCAGCTCCAGTAGAATTCTAATATTTACCACTTTGGGAGTGGTAGTACTCCAATGTTCTCTGTAAGTACAGTAATAAATAAACCTGTTTCATTTAAGTTCCCAGCAGACCATGATGGGTCAGAGGTGTATTGTTTATTATGTGATCTCTGTTGGTCCGGCAAAACCAATATACTGGCAAAGCCTAGGAGCCAGGGGTGCATGAAAATCAGTGTTGCATCTTTATTGTATACCATTAATGTAACAAGTATAGTGGTACCCAGAGTTTCGGCCATAATTCGTTCCAGAAGGCTGTTCGAGTGCCGTTGCCAAACGAATTTGCTCCCATAAGGAATAATGTAAATTAGATTAGTCTGTTTCAGACCCCAAAAAATACACTTACAAAAGCACTTACAATAATACACTTACATAATTGTTCGAGTTGGGAGCTATATGAAACTCGGGGTACCACTGGATTTTACTTTTATGTTAAATGTACTATTAACATTATACATACAATACATTGATATGTTGCCAAAATAGAAAAAAAATTGTAAGATGCATAATAAAATTGAATTTAAAAAATTCACAGTCAAGCCCCCTTGAGTTTATATACAGTACAGTTAGTAATGATGGTATACACAATGAGGTCAAATTATGATATGTGGGACACATGTATATTTTTTATGCGAAATATTTTTGAGCAGTAATTTCATGGGTGTATTTGACAAAATCCAATCACAATTGTTAACCTTCCATCAATTAGCTTTGCTTGTCCATGTTTAAAAATACTAAAGTCAAAATACAGATGTTTGCTTTTCATTAAATTGGACAGGTAAATTCTCTTGTATTACATGTGTTTATCTGGCTGTTTATACAAACCTTGAAAAGAGGGCAATGCAGCAGCTCTCTTAACTAATTCATGGCTGTGCCTATCTTAAACTCATGCACAGATACTTGTGTAATTTTAATTTGTATTTAAACTTAAAGATTTTTTGTAAAACTAATGATATGATAACTTATTCCACACATCAGGTACTTTATTTCTATACCAATGTTTTCATGTTTTCTTCATGAATGCCTGCTCAAATAACTTTTGAACAACTAAGATAATTTGATACAACTTATTTGTACTGTATGGGAGTCGGGTGAAGAATAAAGACATAACATAGCCAGCATTTACTGGCACTCATATAAAGATCTGTGTGTGCATCCCCTTCCTCCAGTCATTTCTGATTACATCCTGTTCTTGAGGTGCTGTCGGACCCTTGCAGGTTTAGTGCTTCCCCATGAATATACATAATATGCATGTGCATCAAGTGATCACTACATGATGTCTGGCAACCAATAAATTATTCGCATATATGAGTTAGGTATTATGTGCTCTCTAGATCATGTCTAGCTAATCAGAAATTAGTCATCTAGATGTCAGGAATTATTATATAATTATAATCAAAGAAAGCTCTAAACTGACAAGGGTTATACAGCGCTGTGGGGTAGAAAATAGTGCTGGGGCTATAAACAGCTAGGTGGAGAGGAAAAGAGAGTGGAAGAGATGCTAAGGGCTGTGTGTCAAAGTTCGTACAGTAAAGCAGTTGCTGACAAAGTCAAAAAGTGATCATAAGTCAAAGGTAGGACTGTCTGCAAGAAGAGAAGATAGATACATGTATCAGGAAGCAAGAGCTGTGTCCCATAGCCACAGTTACTATGTTGCATCATATAATGCAAGAATTATGTCATTATTACATTTATGAGGAATATCACTAAACCCATAGGGGTCATATAGTGCTTTGGGAAGGGGAGACAGTCGAATTTGATCCAAGGAAAGGGAGGTCTAATTCCTTGGATCAAGAGCCCCTCACCAGCATCAAGGCCGGTACAGTGGTACCTCAGGATACGAACAGCTCAAAACTCGACCAATTACGTAATTGCTTTTGTAAGGGTCTGAAACAGATTAATCTAATTTACATTATTCCTTATGGGAACAAATTCGTTCAGTATCAGCACTCGAACAGCCTTCTGGAACGAAATAAATTCATATCCCGAGGTACCACTGTCCCTTTCTTGAGAGATTCCTCTTTTGTTAACTCTATATTTTTTGGAGGTGAATGTATTCATATATTTAGGAGTGGACGTGTCAGCAGATGGGTCTATGAAGGATGAGGTGAATCACAGAATTGATGAGGGTAAAAGGGTAAGTGGGGCACTTAGGACTTGGTCCGTGGAAGCAAAAAGGGGAATGTACGAGTGTAGTTATACCAACACTCTTATATGGGTGTGAAGCATAGGTGATGAATGTTGCAACAAGGAGAAGGCTGGAGGCAGTGGAGATGTCATGTCTCAGGACAATGTCTGGTGTGAATATAATGCAAAGAATTCGTAGTTTGGAAATTAGGAGAAGGTGCAGGATTACCAAAACTATTATCCAGAGGGCTGAGGAGTGGTTGTTGAGGTGGTTCGGACATGAAGAGAGAATGGAACAAAACAGAATGACTTCGAGTGCATAAATCTGTAGTGGAGGGAAGGCGGGGTAGGGGTCGGTCTAGGAAAGGTTGGAGGGAGGGGGGTAAAGGAGGTTTTGTGTGCGAGGGGCTTGGACTTCCAGTAAACATGTGTGAGCATATTTGATAGGAGTGAATGGAGACAGATGGTTTTTGTAATACTTGATGTGCTGCTGGAGTGTGAACAAAGTAACATGAAGGTATGCAGGGAAACTGGCAGACTGGACTTGAGTCCTGGAGATGGGAAGTACAGTGTCTGCACTCTGAAGGAGGGGTGTTAATGTTGCAGTTTTATAACTGTACTGTAAAGCACCCCTCTGGTAAGACAGTGATGGAGTGAATCATAATGAAAGTGTATATAATGACAATAAGAAAATAGTTCTGGTGGTGTGGGGCAAGGGGCTTGGATATGCAGCTGGCATATGTGAGCGTGTTGAAATAAGATTGAATGAATGGTTTCTGTTACCTGACGAGCTATTTGGAGTGTGAGCAGGGTAATATTTTGTGAAAGGATTCAGGGACTTAAGTCCTGGAGGTGGGAATTACAATGCCTGCACTTTAAAGGAGGGTGTGGGATATTGGCCGTTTGGAGGGACATCTAAACTGTCATATATGAGCACCTCTGCAAGGACAGTGATTATGTACGAATGATAAGTTTTTTCTTTCTTTTTGGGTCACCCTGCCTGTGGGAAACAGCCGATGTGTTAAAAAAAAGAAAAAAATTAGGTAATGCAGTGATTACTTGTTTAATATGTTAGGTTTCATTTGTTGTTGTCATGTTTTAATTCTGATTTAGCACTAATATACCATACTTATGTATTCTCAAATAATTTTGTTTTACTGAAGTTGGTGGATTTTTTATAATATTGTATATCAAGCAGTTTATTTTCTTACATTTTTCATGTTAACAATACAGTACTAATTAAAAAATTAATTAGTTGCATTAAGTCACCCTTTAAATATGTATGGCCCTCAGAGGTTCCTTGATGCTGGTAAGAGACTTTTGATACAAGGAATTGGACTTGTTTTCTCCTTCCTTAGATGAAAACTGATTGCCTCCCGCTTATCAGGTGCCGTGATATCCATGTGGGTTTAGCACATTCTCCGAATACAACACTAATAGAGTACTCTGTGGTTAGGAGGTAACATCAAACCAGCATACCTTTCTTCAAACCTGGCATGTACTGTGAATATCACTATGGGAAGTGAATATCACTCTGAAGGAGGGGTGTTACTGTTGCAGTTTTATAACTGTAGTGTAAAGCACCCCTCTGGTGCTTTACACTACTCTTCATTATCAAGTAATTAAATTTTACAAAAGTATTTGTATGAAATAATACATACGGTAATTTTTCATGCAGGTTGACAACACTAGATAAAATAATAAAAAAAAAAACTTGAGAAAGTTGAGGTACACCCTAGGCTAAGTTACTACTATAGATGGCCAAGTTTTTCCTTCTTGCCTTGACTGTGTGTGTACTTGCCTATTTGTGGTTGCAGGGGTCATTTCATAGCTCCTGGCCCTGCCTCCTTATCAAAGTAGACAAGTTCCTCAAAGGTGAGAATGTCATTATGTAACAAATCAAGTATAAGCAGAAATGAAACGTGAAAACTGGTAATGACTGCTATACAGTAGGTCCCAGACTTATGATGACCCACACTTACAATTTTGGCACTTTGGATATTATTAATTAGTTATGGACACAATCTCCCTTCTGAATCTCAGGAATGCTCATGGCCATAGAAATATCACTTCCAGTGAACAAAACTGTACTAATATTCAGTATAAATACCATAATGTACTGCAGCTGTAAATAACATATACACATTAATATTGTTTGGTGCTATTTGCAGTTGAAAAGGAGTATATAGCATGGAATGTAAAATACTAAGTAAATTATCTTACCTGAAAATCAAATCAGTTAGAGAATATTATGGTTTGAGAATGTATCTTTGAATATAATATGGGCATTTATGGAAAAGTAGATTCCAAACACTCTTGGTTACAATTTTCATGAACACAAACATTACAAAGCCTTACTGTACAATGTAATTTAAAATGGAGTGGTATACATAAACCACATTATGGGCTTCAATGTATGAAAACACATCTCTGTGCTGGTCCTCATGGCACTTTCAAAGTACCAGTTTAGCAAACGTGGATCATCGTCAGTAGGGGACCTATTGTATAATGCCACAATTCTTACGAGGGATTGAAGACAAATTGTAAAGGTTGGTGGATGAATTTGGGCGGATGTATAAAAGGAAATTAGAAGTGAATATGGATAAGAGCAAGGCCATGAGGGTAACAAAAAGCCTAGCTTATTAGTAAGTTGAATATTAGACTAGAGGGAGTATGGAGGAAGCAGATGTATATATTTAGATATTTGGGAGGAAATGTCAACAGACTGGTCTACAAAAAATTAAGTGAACCATAGAATAGATGAGGGAAAATAAGTAGGTAGTGTGTTGAAGCATCTTTGAAATGAAAATAGCTTTTTTTATTTTTTATTAGCACACTGGCCAATTCCCACCAAGGCAGGGTGGCCCGAAAAAGAAAAACTTTCACCATTATTCACTCCATCACTGTCTTGCCAGAAGGGTGCTTTACACTACAGTTTTTAAACTGCAACATTAACACCCCTCCTTCAGAGTGCAGGCACTGTACTTCCCATCTCCAGGACTCAAGTCCGGCCTGCCGGTTTCCCTGAACCCCTTCATAAATGTTACTTTGCTCACTCTCCAACAGCACGTCAAGTATTAAAAACCATTTGTCTCCATTTACTCCTATCAAACACGCTCACGCATGCCCGCTGGAAGTCCAAGCCCCTCGCACACAAAACCTCCTTTACCCCTTCCCTCCAACCTTTCCTAGGCCAGCCCCTACCCCGCCTTCCTTCCACTACAGACTGATACACTCTTGAAGTCATTCTGTTTCGCTCCATTCTCTCTACATGTCCGAGCCACCTCAACAACCCTTCCTCAGCCCTCTGGACAAGTTTTGGCAATCCCACACCTCTCCTAACTTCCAAACTACGAATTCTCTGCATTGTATTCACACCACACATTGCCCTCAGACATGACATCTCCACTGCCTCCAGCCTTCTCCTCGCTGCAACATTCATAGCTTATGGATGCCACAAGAATGTACCAGAGTATAGTAATACCAACATTTTATATGGATGTGAAGTATAGGTGTTGAACACTGAAGCAAGGAGGCAGAGATTCCACAATTCAAGGAATTGGACATGACCTTTCCTTCTTTAAATCAAACCTGTATGATCCCTAATGGTTTAGCCTCTTCTTCCCTAAATGAATGTAATAAGAATTTATGGAGAAGTGTCAAATCTGTAGGTCATCAGTATTTTGAATGGGAAGTTATCAGGTCTGATTTGAGGAAGGACTGGTTGTTCAAGTTTAGAGCCTATTTATTACACAAGGGTCATTAAGGCTGCATGAAACATGTTCAATAACTGAAGAATACATTGCACTTTTATTCCTAAATTAAATTGAACTGTATATACTGTATACACTTTCTTTCAACACACTGGCTATATCCCACCGAGGCGGGGTGGCCCAAAAGGAAAAATGAAAGTTTCCTCTTTTACATTTAGTAATATATACAGGAGAAGGGGTTACCAGCCCCTTGCTCCTATTGTATACACCTATGTATATATTTATTGGTCTGAGAAAGAGGGTGACTCCAATTACTTGAATCAAAAGTCATTCATTGGCATTGTGACACATTCCTTGAAGAGTGCCATTTCAAATTAACTTTTCATATACACATTTTTTTAATTCCTATCTCTTAGCATTAGTTTATTTACACTAATTACAACCCAAGAAACTCATTTATTATTATTATAATCAAAAAGAAGTGCTAAGCCACAAGGGCTATACAGCGCTGCTAGAAACTCATTTATAAATACAGAAAATATATATATCACCTTTCCATTCCTTATTTTAGTATATCTAGAACAACCTCACCCTCAAGTCTTTCCCCAAGCCTATTTGATAGGTTCATCTTGAGTCCACAATTTTTGTACCTAACTTTCACCCTGTGTACTAGAGAAAAGGGCTGAAGATACCCATGTAAGTCCCCATTTCAGATTAGTCAAGAGGAACTTGAGAGCTTTGGTCCACTGTTCTTCACTGTTGAACTGCATCCTGTAAAAGATAACAGTTTTAAAGAATATAAAAGGCACAATACCATGACTGGAATAACCCACACTTAGGAGACAAACTTATGATGACATTTTGGTCCAACTTAGACCATTAACTAGTCTTACAAATACGATGGGAGAGGAGTGAGAATGTATACAAGGGGCAGGGGATGGGAGAGGTAGTATTAGCAGTAGTAGTAGAAGTGCAACAGTGATAGACATGGCAATGAAAAGGTAGTAGTGGTAGTGAAAAAAAAGGGGGCACAGAGTGGTGCAAGTGAAGGACTAGTAGTAATAGTGGAAGTAGTCTAAGGAACAAGAAAAACAGAGGAGCACTGTGGGAGAGCTAATGTTCCATGGGAGTAGGACAAACTCCTTGCAGGACAAAACCCTACAGGACAGAGTGCACCTAGACAGAAAATAGTAATGGCAAAGAAAATATAGGCAGGGTGAGGAAGCAGGGAAAGGAGATAAAGATCAGATCAAGTCGTGAGTATTTTAAGGAGTTGACACTGTAATGAGAAAAGGAAGTATTTACAAAGCCAGGACTAAGATTTATACTAATTATGTTGTGTATAAGGGATGCTTCAACAAGACAGTCTGTGAAGCCAGACAATTTTGGCAGAGGACTAGTTAATAGGATGATCATAATCTCTATCATGACCAAACAGAGCACTGTTAGTGTCAGCATCTTTTGTGTTCCTTATGTCTGTCAGAAAGTGAGCGGCCAGTTTCACCAAAGTAATGGAAACGACAAGAGGTGCAGGAAATGGAGTAAACTTCAGAAGCATCAGTAATAGGAGGAGAGGTATGAACAAGATTACTACAAAGAGTACTAGTTTAGCAAGAAGAAAGTGTGATTTCTAAAGAATAATGTGTTGTTAAGATATGGAAGACTGGAAATATAAGGAAGCAAAGGGTAGGAGATTTCACAGAAGAGAGTTTGGGAGAGCAGAAAGTCCATTTAGCATGTGAATAGGCAGAGTTTATGAAACTGGAGGGATAGCCAAAGCAAAAGAGCAAACTGCAAAGAGTAGAAATTTCTTAGTCAAAAAACTTTCTATCTAGATGGGTTCTGTTCTATGGGGTTTTGTCCTGCAGGGATTTTATCCTACCCTTGTGGGACATTAGCTCTCCTGTGGTGCTCTGTTCTTGTTCCTTGAACTACCTCCACTATTAAGAATATAAGAACGAAGGAACACTGCAGCAGGCCTACTGGCCCATGCGAGGCAGGTCCAAGTCTCCTACCGGCTTAAGCCAATGCACCCAACCTAGTCAGGTCAGGTCACCTTGACTTAAGGGAGGAACACGGCAACCGTCCTGGTAGCACAAGCTAATCAGGTCCAACTCACACCCACCCACACCCACTCATGTATTTATCCAACCTATTTTTAAAGCTACACAACGTTCTGGCCTCTATAACTGTACTTGGGAGTTTGTTCCACTCATCCACAACTCTATTACCAAACCAGTACTTTCCTATATCCTTCCTGAATCTGAATTTTTCTAACTTAAAACCATTGCTGCGAGTCCTGTCTAGGCTAGATATTTTCAGCACACTATTTACATCCCCTTTATTTATTCCTGTCTTCCATTTATACACCTCAATCATATCCCCCTAATTCTACGTCTTTCTAGAGAGTGAAGATTCAGGGCCCTTAGTCTATCCTCATAGGGAAGGTTTCTGATACATGGGATCAACTTTGTCATCCTCCTTTGTACATTTTCCAGAGCATTTATATCCATTCTGTAATACGGTGACCAAAACTGTGCAGCATAATCTAAATGAGGCCTAACCAAGGATGTATAGAGTTGAAGAACAACCTGAGGACTCCTATTATTTATGCTTCTTGATATAAAGCCAAGGATTCTATTAGCTTTATTGCGAACACTTATGCACTGTTGTCTTGGTTTCAGATTACTGCTAACCAGAACTCCTAAATCTTTTTCGCAATCCATAATATTAAGATCTACATTATTTAGTTTATATGTGGCATGGTTATTGTCCTGTACTACTATTCTTTCACATACGCTCCATTGTGGCCCCCTTTTCTCACTACCAGTACTACCTTCATATAGCCACCTCTTTCACTGTTGCACTTCTACTACTACTACTACTGCTGCTGTTGCTACTACTACATTATTGCTACTCCCTCCTCCAATTCTACTTCTCCTGTCCTCTGCCTCCCCCCCTTTATATACTCTTACTCCAATCCCTTTGCACTTCTGTGTAACTAGATAATGGTTGAAGTCAGACCGAAATGTTGTCATAATTTTCAGTCTCCTAGGTGCAGGTTATGTATAAAAGATTTAGTTCCATTGGTTAAAAGTATTTCAGATCACAAGCTAACTTACTGTTATGCAATTAATTCTAAGTAACAGGAAAGCCAGTGTAATCTTATAAACATCAGCTGATCTTAATGCTTCATAAAAAATTAGTTTAAAGTACAAGAATAAAAAATTCCATGATATCAATCTTGTATGTAAGTCATCTGAAGAATACAGCATTAATTCATCTGAGAATAGTGCCTGAACGAAGCACTTTTAATGTATCCTTATTTACTTAATGTACAGTACAGTGGACCCCCGCTTTACGATCAGCTCCCAATGCGACCAATTATGTAAGTGCGTTTGTACGTGTATGTTTGGCGGTCTGAAATGGACTAATCTAATTCACAATATTCCTTATGGGAACAAATTCGTTCAGTAATGGCACCTGAACATACTTCTGGAATGAAATAATATCGTAAGCTGGGGGTCCACTGTACAGTTAAATACTGAAGCTTCAAATTGATACTTCGAAGAATTGTGAACTGTGTGTTTGTACTGAAAATAAGGATTACAATTTTCTTTCCTTTGGGAAAATCAAAACCAAATGATATATTTTAAACAGGAAAGTGATAAATTTACAGGTGGTTCTTGACTTTCGATATTTCAAATTTACGATGGTGCAAAAACAATTACTTTGGAGATGAAGCATAAGATAATTACCCAACATGAAAACAACAAATCCACAACTTATATTCTTTTTTATTTACTTTTTAATACTGGTATTTAATTAGTTTAATTATTTATTTACTTATTCAGTGACAGTAGTTATTTATTTATTTAGCATTAGAGGTAAGACAGAATGTAGGATTGCGGATGAGCAGGAGGTTTCAGAGTGGGTAGGGGATGTGTAGATCAAGTGTTTGCATTGAAGCATATATGTGAACAGTATTTAGATAAAGGTAGGGAAGTTTTTATTGCATTTATGGATTTAGAAAAGGCATATGATAGAGTGGATAGAGGAGCAATGTGGCAGACGTTGCAAGTATATGGAATAGGTGGTAAGTTATTAAATGCTGTAAAGAGTTTTTATGAGGATAGTGAGGCTCAGGTCAGGGTGTGTAGAAGAGAGGGAGACTACTCCCGGTAAAAGTAGGCCTTAGACAGGGATGTGTAATGTCACCATGGTTGTTTAATATATTTATAGATGGGGTTGTAAAGGAAGTAAATGCTAGGGTGTTCGGGAGAGGGGTGGGATTAAATTCAAAATGGGAATTGACACAGTTACTTTTTGCTGATGATACTGTGCTTATGGGAGATTCTAAAGAAAAATTGCAAAGGTTAGTGGATGAGTTTGGAAATGTGCGTAAAGGTAGGAAGTTGAAAGTGAACATAGAAAAGAGTAAGGTAATGAGGGTATCAAATGATTTAGATAAAGAAAAATTGGATATCAAATTGGGGAGGAGGAGTATGGAAGAAGTGAATGTTTTCAGATACTTGGGAGTTGACGTGTCAGCGGATGGATTTATGAAGGATGAGGTTAATCATAGAATTGATGAGGGAAAAAAGGTGAGTGGTGCATTAAGGTATATTATTTTTTTTTTATTATCACACTGGCCGATTCCCACCAAGGCAGGGTGGCCCGAAAAAGAAAAACTTTCACCATCATTCACTCCATCACTGTCTTGCCAGAAGGGTGCTTTACACTACAGTTTTTAAACTGCAACATTAACACCCCTCCTTCAGAGTGCAGGCACTGTACTTCCCATCTCCAGGAGGTATATGTGGAGTCAAAAAAACGTTATCTATGGGGTCAAAGAAGGGAATGTATGAAAGTGTAGTAGTACCAACACACTTATATGGGTGTGAAGCTTGGGTGGTAAATGCAGCAGCGAGGAGACGGTTGGAGGCAGTGGAGATGTCCTGTTTAAGGGCAATGTGTGGTGTAAATATTATGCAGAAAATTCGGAGTGTGGAAATTAGGAAAAGGTGTGGAGTTAATAAAAGTATTAGTCAGAGGGCAGAAGAGGGGTTGTTGAGGTGGTTTGGTCATTTAGAGAGAATGGATCAAAGTAGAATGACATGGAAAGCATATAAATCTATAGGGGAAGGAAGGAGGGGTAGGGGTCGTCCTCGAAAGGGTTGGAAAGAGGGGGTAAAGGAGGTTTTGTGGGCAAGGGGCTTGGACTTCCAGCAAGCGTGTGTGAGCGTGTTAGATAGGAGTGAATGGAGACGAATGGTACTTGGGACCTGACGATCTGTTGGAGTGTGAGCAGGGTAATATTTAGTGAAGGGATTCAGGGAAACCGGTTATTTTCATATAGTCGGACTTGAGTCCTGGAAATGGGAAGTACAATGCCTGCACTTTAAAGGAGGGGTTTGGGATATTGGCAGTTTGGAGGGATATGTTGTGTATCTTTATATGTGTATGCCTCTAGACTGTTGTATTCTGAGCACCTCTGCAAAAGCAGTGATAGTGTGTGAGTGTGGTGAAAGTGTTGAATGATGATGAAAGTATTTTCTTTTTGGGGATTTTCTTTCTTTTTTGGGTCACCCTGCCTCGGTGGGAGACGGCCGACTTGCTGAAAAAACAAACAAACAAAAAAAATATTCATATTCGACTTACGATGGGTTCATCGGAATGTAACCCCATTGTAAGTCAAGGAGTACCTGTATACTATGTTTTATACAAAAGATTCACCTTATAGAAAGAGAATTGCCAGATGTAGGATCTTCAATACAGTGTTTATTGATACGGTATGGCAGACAGAAACGAGCTGCTTGACCTTCCTGTGCCTCAACATGTTGCTGAAATTCTGCTACACATTCCAAGAAGGCTGTCATTCCTGCATCAAACTTGGTATCCCACAAGAATCGGAATCCACCAGATCCATACAAGGGTAATTCACGATTTTCACCAATAACCTGCAGAAAGTGGAAAAAATCTTAATCTTTTGTGCAAAGTAAAGCATAACTGATAACTGTCTCTGCTTATGAGCATTATTTCTATTTACAGTTGACCATCAGTTAACATGGTAGTTACATTTCTGAAAACAGCGTGTAAACAAAAATGCATGTGAAATGAACTGAAGAACATATGGGGAAAAACAGGGTTACGTTTATTACACCTCCACTTTTCTATTGCTGGCAAATGCACGTTTTTGCTGGCATCATCTTCCCATGAAGGCTTGTTTTGTCAACATTAAAACACTTGCTGAGGCTTGCAGCTACCCTCAGAAATAATTTCCTGTAATTCAGAAGGGAAATTCTTCCCTGTAGCAGTGGCCAGCAGAACCACTTTCAGCAGAAAATTTAATATTTATACAACTGACTGCAATATGAACTTGTGAAACTAACCTGTATTAAACAAGCACTCTTATTCAGGTGCACCTTTCTTGTTTTTTTGCTCAATCTGCTCAAAAACTTGCATCTTATTTAGCTGTTCTGACCTATTTGTCATTCTTTTCAGGAGGTCACAACCTGGGTTACTCATAGAACACGCTTGTATCTTTGCCTCATTCTTCCTAATTGTGTAAATTGATGCCTCATTCAGGCCATAGGCCTATGCCATCTCCACACGTGCACCCTCCTTAAGCTTATTTAATATCTAGAGTTTCTTCAAAACACAAAGACTTAAATGTTTATGTATCTTCTTTGCACACAGAATCACTCACATTCCTCTTGGGTGTCATGGTTACTATTTAGAGACAAGATGGGATGAGGAAAACATAGAACTGAGGTGGGAGAGGGAAGTTGTGTATATTGCATAGGCCTGTCCCATAAAGCAATAGACTCTACCTAAGGCTCACTGTAAGATGGAAGAGAAAGAACCCAGCATATTCTGCATTTTCCCTATATGCACTCTGCTGTGTAAACTGTTTAATATGGAATGTTCACCAACAACGTTAAGGTGAAAATGTGTTAACAGATTGTGTTAGCCGATGATCTAATGTAGAATGTTAGTAGTAAAATTGCAACATGAAATTTGACTAGACCAAAAACCCAAACTAACAAAATATAACGAACTACAGTACATATATCAATTATTTTGTTCTCAGATACATATGCCACAGCTGAACTATAGTATATATATTTGAGAGCACTGAAGAATGTGATTCTTTATCAACTTTGATTAATGAAAATGTAAGAAATGTCTTAAACTGAGTAAAGATAATGCACAATTAACATACATACAGTACAGGTAAAACATCACAGAATGTTTAATGGTATATTAATTTTGAATACAATGACTCCCTTAAAGGAGGTGTACTTGATGCTGGTGAGGCACTCTTGAGTCAGGGAAGCAGACATATCCTCTTCTTACTTGGATCAAGGCCAACTTGTGCTGTATGGCCCCTGTAGGTTTTGTGTTGTGACCCCTATGGGTTTAGAACATCCTTAATTATAATAATACATACACTGTCACTTGTTATTAAAAACCACTAACCTCAATATATGAATGGTTGCCATAAGGAACTAATCTGTATTTAGAAAACTTTAGTCCTATCTTCCTAGCTAGCGAAGCTAAGAGCAGAACAGTCTGGCCCCAGGCAGCATTTATTTCTTGCCAGGTGACAGGAGCAGTAGGAAGACGACCTAAGCGAAGATTGTTTATTGTTCCAAAATGGCCAGAATGCCAGATATGGAAAGTTGTATTAAACACATTTGTCTTTTTCAATCGCTCGAGTTGATTTTGCGTGTAGGTCAGTTGGCTTTTCAAGCTGAAAAGATACAAGAAAAAATAAGTTTACATTAGATTTTTCAAGGAAGTTTCATTTAATTACTGTGTGACAATTATATTTCAATATACAGTACTTATTATCTACCTGTTAATTTTTTGTTCCAAAATAGGTCAATGTACTGTAAATGTAAACAAAGAAAATGCAAAGAACCATAAGAATGAAAGCAGTGTAAGTAGAGCACTGCACAAAGAAAACTTGGTCATTGCATAAGAACTCAGATCAACAACTCGTAATAAAAAAAGAAATGTAAAGTCTAAGGAAATACTTCTTATCATTTTATTTAAAAGAGAAATCCTCCTTTGTTAAAAAAGACAATAAAATTTAAGCAAAAACAAGTCTTCTAAGAGAGTGAGAAAGAGCTACTTGGCTGATGGCTGGACAGAATATAATACCTACACTGGGCCAACTTAAATGCCTTCCTCTATTACCCTCTTCCGCATATTATCTAACTAAATTTTGCATGTCTTGCCTTCTATTCTCATCTTCCATAGCAGTGAGCTGTGACTTGTGAGTACAATACTCCCTCCAGTAACGTTCTTCTTCATCTTCCAACTGTGCCTTTTCTTCTTCGTGCTTCTCCAACACCTTTTGAGCAGCATCTTGTTCAGCCTCCACCTCTGCTAACTCCTTGATCAGCCGTTCTTCTTCAAGTTGTAGCTGAAATATCAAAACTAGAATATATAAAAAATTGTCTTTGGTTAATAATATGCAAGTACAGTGGACCCTCGACTAACGCTATTAATCCATTCCTGAGAGCTCATCGTTAGTCAAGTTAATTTTCCCCATAAGAAATAATGGAAATCAAATTAATCCGTGCAAGACACCCAAAAGTATTGAAAAAAAAAATTTTAACACATGAAATATTAATTTTAACACACACAAACTGAAGAAGACATGCACAGTTACATGACACTTACCTTTATTGAAGATCTGGTGATGATTGATGGGATGGGAAGAGGGGAGTGTGTTGATGGTCTTATTGTTTAGAAGGGGAATCCCCTTCCATTAGGACTTGAGGTGGCAAGTCCTTTTTCGGGGTTACTTCCCTTCTTTTAATGCCACTAGGACCAGCTTGAGAGTCACTGGACCTCTGTCGCACAACATATCTGCCCATAGAGGCCTGTACCTCCCGTTCCTTTATGACATTCCTAACGTGTTTCACAACATTGTCAGTGTCACCATTAAACACTTGTTCAGGTTTCAGTCTTTCACTGTCTATGTACTCCTTGAATTCCTGCACATATTTTTCAGCTGCTTTTTGGTCCAAACTGGCAGCCTCACCATGCCTTATCACACTATGTGTGCCACTACGATTCTTAAATCTCTCAAACCAACCTTTGCTGGCCTTAAATTCACTCACATCACCACTAGTTGCTGGCATTTTTCTAATTAAATCGTCATGCAACTTCCTAGCCTTTTCACATATGATCGCTTGAGAGATGCTATCTCCTGCTATCTGTTTTTCATTTATCCATACCAATAACAGTCTCTCAACATCTTCTATCACTTGCGATCTCAGTTTCGAAAACATAGTTGCACCTTTGGCAAGAACAGCTTCCTTGATTGCCGTTTTCTTGGCCACAATAGTAGCGATGGTTGATTGGGGCTTTGTGTACAGCCTGGCCAGCTCGGAGACATGCACTCCACTTTCATACTTAGCAATGATCTCTTTCTTCATATCCATAGTAATTCTCACCCTTTTTGCTGTAGGGTTGGCACTAGAAGCTTTCTTTGGGCCCATGGTGACTTATTTTGCAGGTGCAATCACTAAAAAGGCTGTGATAATATGAAATGTTCCGATTGTATGCTTGGAAGCGACCGCGGTGGCTGGCTGGCTTGTAAACACTGGCCAGAAGTGGACGCGTCTCAGACGGAAGGAATAGTGTTGGTCGAGTTTTTTAGCGCTAATCGAGGCAAAATTTTTGCGATAAAATGTATCGCTAGTCAGATTTATCGTTAATCGATGCCATCGCTGGTCGAGGGTCCACTGTACAGTACTGAACTGAAGCCAATGAGTATTTGCTACTGTGTATTTTGTGCAAGCAAACACACACGTATAAACCACCCAAGAAATTTGATTCTCAACAAGCAAAGCATAAAGACTAAGATAAAATTGTCTCTACTTCCAGGAATATAGAAAAGTCAGAGAACTACTGGTTTAAATACAGGTGTGCAGTATTGAATCCTTTTGGGTAAGACATACAAAATTGCCCAAATTTTACAATATGGCTAACATTACCCAGAATTGATGAAAAAGACACCAATTGTTTCTTTTTCACCACTTTTCAGTTTTGTGTCATTTGCTTGCAATGCCCAAAATTAACAATTTATTCCTAAAGCAATTAAAATATAATTATGGTGTATTTCACTAATGAAATAAACAATGTTAAGGTAAAACAAATAATTAGTAATTAAGAACATATACATAAAGGAGTGTATCTCACTTCATATAAGTTGAACATTTACTTTAATCCTTACTTTAGGAATTAAAGTATTCTTGACCTAAGAGTTATTAGTTAGAAATTGTCACTGGTGCTCATATATATCAAATTATGAGAAATCCCTATGCTACACTGGCTAACTATAAAATAGCTTTAAAATACAGTGGACCCTCGACCAACGATATTAATCCGTTCCTGAGGGCTCATTGTTAGTCAAAATTATCATTAGTCGAGTTAATTTTCCCCATAAGAAATAATGGAAATCAAATTAATCCGTGCAAGACACTCAAAAGTATGAAAAAAAAAAATTTACCAAATGAAATATTAAGATGAAATTAAGACACATGTGCAACATCTGAGTATCTTTATTGTAGACGTTTCGCCATCCAGTGGCTTTATCAATACAAATTCTAGGACATAACTTGAAGACAGTAGAACTATGTACAGAAGATGAGGTAATCAGTCCCTCAACCTAGGAGTAGGTGCGAAGAGCACCATAGTCGTGGAGATTCTGGATGGCGAAACGTCTACAATAAAGATACCCAGATGTTGCACATGTGTCTTAATTTCATCTTGTCGGTATTATATACCATTCTTACACAACATGAAATATTAAGTTTAATGCAATAGAATAATTACAATAACAACAACAATAGATTAATAACAATAGAATAATTGACACTTACCTTTAATGAAGATCTGGTGATGATTGATGGGATGGGAGGAGGAGAGAGTGTGGATGGTGTTAGTGTTTAGAAGGGGAATCCCTGTTTTCCATTTATATACCTCGATCATATCCCCCCTAATTCTACGCCTTTCGAGAGAGTGCAGATTCAGGGCCCTCAGTCTATCCTCATAGGGAAGATCTCATATGGGGGATATGATCGAGGTGTATAAATGGAAAACAGGAATAAATAAAGGGGATGTAAATAGCGTGCTGAAAATTTCCAGCCAAGACAGTACTCGCAGCAATGGTTTCAAGTTGGAAAAATTCAGATACAGGAAGGATATAGGAAAGCACTGGTTTGGTAATAGAGTTGTGGATGAGTGGAACAAACTCCCAAGTACAGTTATAGAGGCTAAAACGTTGTGTAGTCTTAAAAATAGGTTAGATAAATACATGAGTGGGTGTGAGTTGGACCTGACTAGCTTGTGCTACTAGGTCTGATGCCATGCTCCTTCCTTAAGTGGGAGTAACCTGACTAGGTGGGTCATTGGGCTAATCCGGGAGGAAGGGGGGACATGGACCTGCTTTGCATGGGTCAGTAGGCCTGCTGCAGTGTTCCTTCTTTCTTATCTTCTTATGTTATCAAATAAGCAATGAGAGCTAGCTGAATAGCTATACTATTTTAAAAACAAATGGAAAAATACTAAAGCTATACTATTCTTGTAATATTAACATAAAAGCATTTCACTTACATTTTTCAACTCATTCTCAAGAGCTGTAACATCAGTATCTGGCATATCTGTCAATGAAGCATATAACTGTTGTGACATCTGTGCCTGCTTTTGAGTTCTTGACAGTGTAGTGTCCATCAGGTCTAGCAGAGCATCAGTGCATTCTTCACAAAGAGGATGATCAATGCCACTGTTGGAGCTCACTAAGTCATAAAGATTTGTAGCTACCTGAAAAGGTATTCATATTTTGTGTTGAGGAACTAAAGAAAACACTGATGCTATAATAATACCTCATAAAAAGATGCAATCTGAAAACATATCAGCAACTAAACTTTTCTACATGTAATGTACATATATTACGCAGGACAGTATAGAAATATCTTAATTTCCAGGCTTTATAATAGCTTTTCAAATTTAACAAAATCAATAATTTAAATGCAAAATAAAATATTTTTGCTCTACTGATGGAGTCGACATTTAAAATGAGATGAAAAATAGGTTATTATTAACTATTTTTATTTATATGCTTACTAATTTACTATATTGAAAAGAAAAAAAAAAAGACTTTATAATGACCTTAAGAGGTTGTGTTTTTTCAGTGTCACCTGATTCTCCAACTAATGTAAAGCCATGAGGGTGGTGGCCTGAGTCAGTCAATGGAAGTGGAGGTACCAATTTATCTACCTCTGATGGATCAAACTCTACCTCTTCTCCAGGATAAATAGGCACTGAGAAAAAAGAAGTTTGCATATAAAATTTATTTTAAAAAATTTAAACAAAAAAAATTAGGAAAATTACTTCAAGTATTTTTCATAAATTAAAATACATACTGAATATACATTCTGTATTATCCAGCAAATCACCATTCACAAACATTGTTTGATATAATCTCTCTCAATGTCCAGAACAGCTATGTTTCTCAATATTGCTCTACTTCATATAAATATCAAGTACATTGCATTTATATGTAGTGTGTATCATATTAACTGGTAAAATTTAATCAGTACCTAAATTATCTGTTAAGGTAAACAAAAAATCAAAGTCCATGAACAAAATAAATCAACTGACTGTTAGAAACAAAAATTGAATTCATGTTAGGTTACTATAATCTTAATAAAAATGTAAACAAATTAGTTATGGAATGATACACTTGTTCAATAAAGATTCCCATTCTTCAACTTAAACCATTTACATCACATAAATTACTTATATTTAGTAAGGATCAAAACACACCAAAATTAAATGGCAATTCATTACAATGATGACATACACAGAACCTACATAAATTATATAATTTAGCTTATAACATTCAACAAAAATTCAACATAGTCCCATTAAGCTTTCAGACAAATAAATGAGTCTCTTCATCTAATTTACCCATTTTCATGGTTTAACAAGAGATCTGGCTAAAACATGATGCAACATATGTGCAACATTTAGTTTATGTAGGTACAATGCTAGTCATAACTGTAGGCCCAAAAATGGGGAAGGGTGGTACTATAATCTATTATAAAATAAAATAAAATGAAATATATGTACATAGGTATTGTAAAAACAAAGCATATTTGACGAGGACAAATTCAAACAATTTGCCACCAAAAACACTATATACAAAATCCCTCACACTGTACTAACCCAAAAAAATCAGTAATACTATCAGAAACAAATACAATTCATAAAAAAGTAAGAAAAAAAGACACCTACCAACTGCTGGATATAGTACAGTACTTTCATATTAACCTACATCAACAGAAAACC